CAGTATGACTATTCCACACGATGCCATTGAATGACATTTAGCTTCGTTTCAGAATTAGGTTTTCATCATTTCCATATAAATATAATTCACGAGTTGCTTGGGTTATTGAGCTGATGAAAGCTCTGGTAGTTGAGTCTCCCACAGTATATGGCCCCACAGTAATTTACGTTAACCTAAGAGCCTTTATTATTCGATGGCTAGTTAGTCCATTTAAGCGCTGACATTTTTTCATGTTAGTGTCCTATTAAAAATGGTGGTTTTCCTTTTCGTGAATTTTATTAATATTTGCCTGATTCGTCTGTCTTTACAGATAAGCATTGTCTCAGTGCTACATTATTTCAGTCAATTTTGCCAATTTCCCACAATTTCTTTTTATTGGTAGGATCAAATATCATCTGATACTTTCACGTAGTTACATTTTGCTTTATTCCGTGCTTATATCCCCGCTCGCATTTTGTTTATTAACTTGACAGTTTAATTTGAATATACTACATTTTTTTTTCCATAATCCTCATTTCATATTTCCCTTGATCGTATTCTGTTTTCACCTTAGCGATATCGACATCGAGATGTTTCTATGTATTCGTTCAATCTGCCTTTTTCTCGAAGTGACTTGCCACGGTGTTTTTTGGCTCAGTTTGGCTTTTGGCTGGCTGTCTAGCTTAATCCGACTACTGTTGCTGCATTATCTCGAAAAGGTGTCTTTTGTCGACCCTATCACAAATATTAAGAACCCAGACTCGTCTTTACTGCTTTCATCTGGGCTTTCGTGGCCGCAAGCACTCCGCGAGGAAACTGCCTCTTGTTTCTGTCTTTCCTCAGCCCTTATCTTCGACCTTGTCATTATTGGACTGCTTAAGCTAATATTCCGGCGACAACGACCCTCTGGAAATAAACCGCAAGACATGAGAATGACAATTTCTGTGGATTCTTATTCTTTTCCCTCAGGTTAGTTTTGTCTTATACCTGTAGCATATTTTTAACCGAGTGGCATACTTTTTTATGCTTATTATTGGAGCTATTGAGAAGTTATTCATTTTCTTAAAGAAGAGCTGTTGGTAGCTCAATATGTAAGAATTACTGGTAGTTACTAGGACTGATTTTTGTTTTAGATTCATCGATTATTACTCTTTTTATCTATTGTTATGCATAATATGAGGGATGAATCATTTATTCTAATTTAATCTCTCATTGTATTGTAATGAATTTATTCCGTA